GGTTTGATTCCCGGTTAGAGCACATACCCAGGTTGCGGGTTCGATCCCTGGATGGGGCACATGCGCGAGGCAACTGATCAATGTTTCTCTCTCTCTCCCCCTCCCATCCTCTCTCTAAAATCAATCAAATATACATATATCAGCTTTACAAAAAAAACCCAGAACTCTTTCACATGACATTCACCCTATTAACCAGAAGTTGATTAACCAAAATCTTTAATTAAAACCTACATCTCCCTCTCTTTCTCTACGCGCGTGCACACACACGCACACACACACTGTCCTACATTTTGGTTAAAACCTAAAAGGCAAGAGGAAAAAGATTAAACCTAACATTGTGGAAAGAGCACCTTAGGCTAAGAGTCAGGAAACCTTTCACTCTCTCTTTTTAATACTAACAGGCTGGCTGAGTTTAGTCATATCGCTTCAGCACTGGGAGCTTAGTTAGTAAACTATATTAAATGCGGTTTATCTGTAAGGTGTGTAAGTTGGGGAAGTGGACGGTAATCGGAAAGGGTGACAAGGACAGTGGGGTCATTGTCTCTTTTTCTCTTTACACAATAGGTGTAAAACATTAATATGTACCCTAAAAAATTAAAAGGATAATATGATAATACTATAAAGAATGGAAATGTCTACTTTCTTTTAGGTGTGTGAATAGCACTGTTAGCCCTTTCTCTAAGGCGGGAGCAAGTGGAGCCTGATTCCTTGGAAGCAGACCACTCTCCTGGATGGTACAGGGTAGTAAGGGTTGCTGTTTCCACAAGGCCTGTTCTGTTTTCCTAATCGCCTGGCCTAGAGGTCACAGGTACAGTATTCTCCTTCTGGCTCTCACCTGTTTGTTCCCCCACGTGGTGAGCAAATATGGGTTAGAACCCATGACTCGTCTTCTAAAGCAGAAATACTCATGTGACCTGCTGACCAAAATGTTTATAACCAATCCATGATAACTTATGCAGACACTGTCATTAAGCATTTAGAAATCTGTCAATCCAACCTAGACTATAGAAATTAATAAGCATGAAGCAAACTCATTTTTCACATTAAAAACTCTAAATGTAGCCAAGAGGAGCACGTATAGCATTAAATGTTTATATTGGAAAGCAAGTAAGTCCTTTAATCAATAATCTAAGAATCCATCTTATAAAACTTAAAAAATAAGATTAAATTAAAACCAAATCAAGCAAATGGAAGGACATAATAAAGATAAAAGCAGAAATCAATAGAATTAAACACAAAATAGTTGAGAAAATCAATGACGTTAAAAGTGGTTCTTTGAAAAGATCAATAAAATTGATATTTCTAGCCATGCTGATCAAGAAAAAAAGAGGGAAGACACAAATTAGCAATATTAAGAATGAAAGAGAAAACATTAATATGTACCCTATAGAAATTAAAAGGATAATAATATTATAAACATCTTGTGCCAAAAAATTTGATAGCTTGATGAAACAAAGCCCTTGAAAAACACAAACTACCAAGAAGAAATAGATGATCTGAACTGTCCTTTATTAAAGCAACTGAATTTATGACCAAAAACTTTTCCACATATATAATACATCAGGCCTAGATGGGTTCACTGGTGCTTTCTACCAAATATTTAAGAAATAAATATGCCAATTTTATACAAACTCTTGCATAATATAGAAGAGAAAACATTTTCCAAGTCATTTTATGAGGTCAGTATTATTAGCCTGATAGTGAACTCAGAGGAAGACATTATAGGGAAAGAAAACAACAAGCTAATATCCCTCACGACATAAAAATTACTTTTTTTTTTGGTTAACAGTCACCCGGGCATATTTTTTCCATTGATTTTTAGAGAGAGTAGAAGAGAGGGGGAGAAGGGGAGAGAGAGAGAGAAACAGAGAGAAACATCAATGAGAGAGACACATTGATTGATCGCCTCCAGCACATACCTCGACCACCAGGGTCAGGGATCAAATCTGCAACCCAGGTATGTGCCCTTGACCGGGAATCGAACCCACGACTCTTCAGTGCACGGGCTGACTCTCTAACCACTTCGCAATACCGGCCAGAGACATGACAAAAATTCTTAACGAAATTTTTTCAGAATCCATCAATATATAAAAATTATATATCATGAGCAAACAGAATTTATCCCAAAATTTCAAGGTTGATTCAACATTTGAAAGTTAATCTAATCAATTGGGTCAATGAACTACAAATAAAACACCCTGTGGTCATATAAATAGATGCAAAAAAAAAACAACTGACAAAATCCAGCATCTATTCATGATAACATTATCAGCAAGCTAGGAATAGAAGGGCACATCCTCAACTTCATAAAGGCCCTCTATAACATAAAGTTAAAACTGCAATGAGAAAAAGTTATAAACATCATTAAAAGAAGCAAAAGACAAGAGAAAACACATTTGTAATATGTTAGATCACCAAAAGAAACAGAAAAATTCTTACAAATGAATGAGATGAGCACTTGGCTAAAAACATAGGCCAAGGACATAATGAGGAATTCATAATATAATTCATAGAAACAGAAAATGCACATTAGAAAAGATTCAACTTCTCTAGTAATCAAATAAATGCAACTTAAAATTGGAAATTAAAAAAAAATTTTAAATAGTAGCCCCAGTGTTCATGTTTGTTATGCTAATGGTAGATATGAATTTATACACCTTTCCCAGAAAACAATTTGATAACACTCACCAAAATCTCAGAAATATTTATATCTTTTGACCTAGAAATTTCCATGCAAGGAATTTATCTTAAAGAAAATTTTACTTCTTTGCAATCTGCAAGCATGTTCATTAGAGCACTGTTTATAATTATGAATATTTGGAAACAGCTGAAATACAGGGTGGAGCATAAGTAGGGTTACAGTTGCGAGCACATGAAACACAGAGTTCATAAAACTATTGTTGCCCTGGCCGGTGTGCCAACTTGGCTGAGTGTCGTCCGGTGCACTGAACAGTTGCCAGTTCAACTCCTGGGCTGGGCAGGGCACGTGCCTGGACTGCTGGCTCGGCCCCCAGCAGGGCACACGCAGGAGGCAGCGGATGGATATTCGCTCTCACATCCATGTATGTTTCTCTCTCCCTCTCCTTCTCCCTTTCTCTCTCTCTAAAATCAATAAGAAAATCTAAAAAAAAAAAAAAAAAGAAATAGAAATTCCACTGGGTCTCAAGTATAAGATTGGTTTCCAGGAGAGCTCTATTGGCAATCTGTGATGAATTCTCAACTCTTTCTGAAATTGGAGTGGAAAGGAGGTGATCGGCCACATCAACCCCCAACATGAAGATCCTTCCAGTTTTAAAATTCTAAGATTCTACCAGGAGTTTATTTAAAACCAACAATGTTCAGGGGCTGGTGGCCAAGGTAAACACAGAGAGAAGTCTCCTCTCTTTAGTCTTTTTCTGTGACGGTTACCTACTCTCTCTACAGCCCCTCCGTGGCTCTATAATAGGGAAAATAAACAAAGTAGAGTCTGTGCCTTCAAAGGACTTATAGCTGATCTTATAATAAAAATTGCTCTTCAAAATGATCATCCCAAAGCCAGGAAGGTCAAGAATTACCTGGAAAGATTCAATCACGTTTTCTTCCTTAGGTGACAAAGTGGTGCCAGAAATGTTAGAAAGATTTTATAATGAAATCTGAAATTCATCTTTAAGAACAAAAATTCAAAATGATATACAAGACAAAATATTGGCACAACCCAAATAATAAGCAACATGTTTTCTTAAAGACGGCATCAAAAGTTTTGACCAATAACCAAAATCTGGGATTGAGGTTTAGCCTTGAAGACAAATGTCATCAAGGATGATCTCATTTCCAATCTCTCCCAAGCCCTGCATCAGAAATAAAACCATGCGAGCGAGCAACTGGGACACCTGCCATCATGTTCTGGAAGCTGGACTTTCTCAAAACATCGTCAGTTAAAAGTTCTCCAGTTGGTGTTATTTACTGTGGTCAGGCGACCAAATAGCAGGGTCTGTCACCTCAGGGACCCAGGGTGTAAATTAGAGAGAAGGCACAAGTGAACGGAGTTTGGTGGTCGTTTGAGACCCTGATGGACATTTGTCTACCTCACAAAAGCCTCCGTACAATTGGGCTCAATTTGTCACAACTGACAGTTTTTGCTCTGAAGAGGCCCAGACCTAGGGTGGCACAGATGTCCCAGTTTTTCTCCTTTCTCAGTTTGGGTCACAGGGACAAAATTCACCCAGCAGAGTTCATAATTCCAAGCAACTGCACAATCCCAAACACCTTTTGGGGACCGAAAGTACCGTTTCCTATCTCTTTTTCCCTCTCTCTCTGATGGTCTGATGGGTTTCCTTAGCACGAGAGAAGCCGCCCCTCAGCCACTGCCAGGCCCAACGAACAGGAGACCTACCCGGACACATCATTTCGTGAACCGTTAGAAAGGCTCTCAAAATTACAAGCTGTGAGGCCATCCCCACAGAAACCTATGACCTCCTAGAAGGCAGCCCAGCCTTATCCATCGCTGTGACACCCCACAGCACCCACCTTGGTCCTTCCACAACAGTCCCTCCATAAATGTTACATGGAATGACAGAGGAGCTTGACATGTCACCTTCAATGCCAATAAGCCCTTTTAATTCAGGTCTCCCTTACACTAGCTTCAAAGAAAGCCCAGTGTGTAATCAGACATCTACTGCAGGGCCATAAGAAGGTACAATTGCAATCAATTCTTGTGGCCAAAGTCATTAAACTCTTGTGCTTTTTGATTGTTCCCAGAAAAACGACAGAGGAAAACAAAAATTGTTGTGTAGGCACCTTGCAGGGAGTTCAGTTTCTATATAATTGTCTTAAGAGTCATTGAAGCTGTCCTTTAACAACTCACAAATTATCTCCTGACAACTTGAGATAATAGACCTTTTTGTTAGAAGGAGAAAGCTTGTGGAGACCAAAGGTTAAACAGGTCTTTTCATCATGATAAATCACTGGTTAATGAGGTCACTATTGTTGGGTATTATAACCATTCCCTTTAATGCCATTACCTCCTGGTTGTAAAGCTGACACCACTAATGGTCTGCATTCTTTGAACTTCTCCACAATATTGACTGGCTTCCCCAGCAGATGTTCCTTGGATGTGACTGCAAGAGGGACCAGAATTCTTAGTCATGGAAAGATCTTCAAGAAAACTTATGGAATCCAGGCCGTCTAGGCATTTGCAGAGAGGCAGTAAAAGGGAACATTAAAAACAAGAACATAAGCTTTAATTCTGTGATAACAACATCAATTTGCTGTAAGTACTTGAGGCGATACAATGTGTCAACTAGCCCTGGAGAACTTAATGGATGGTCATTAATTAGAAATAAGGTGATAGGTGCCATTAATATTTGGATTACTCCTTATGCATTACACTAGCATACATCATCTCACTGGATCCTTATATAAACTCCCTAAGTCCCACAGATTATTACCTCTTTCAGATGGGGAGACTGAGAACCTGGGGAAATTGTTTTCCTAGTCCTGCAGATATTAGATGATGGGGGAACGCTGACTCCAAGCCTCAGGCTCTTTCATGCAGTCACTGCCACCAGGAGAAGAAATTAACTAATTCTGCATCGGACTCTGTAATAAGCATTAATACCTACAGGTATTTCCTTTACAAATGACAGTTCCACGATTGAGTAATTCTTCATTTGTCCTTGATGAATGAACAGAAGTAGAACTATATCAGTTCACAACAGAAAGATTTGAGATCAACTACATAAGGAATAGAGGCCCAGAGACAGGCAACTTAGCAACACTCAAAACCAGATAATGAACTATCATCAGTGTCATATTTGTAATTCTTAAGGCAGAATGGCTTCCAGGGCATGTTTGCAATTTTTAAATCACAAAATCTCTCTTCCTTTATTTATGTTGTTGTAGTATTGTTTTCTTTTTATTTTGTTTATGTGAATCAAAAATGAAAAATTAGATTAACAATCTAGATATACAGCTCATATGAAGTCAAATATGCACAATTAGTATTGTGTAGGCAGGACATCCAGGGGTTTCAGCATCAGTTATACATCCTACACAGCATGTGATGTCCACCGTCTTGGTGAAGGAAATAAATGGTGGAACAATGCAACTGCAATCATAGGAGAGCTATCGGCCCTCAATGAACATGAGTTGAATTAAACTGGAAAATGTGTTTAAACATATACCGTACTTGTTTCATAAAAATTTGAAGCACTGAGATTATTTAAATGTTTTACTTTTTGAGTTGTTGAGAAAGAACTTGCCTCATAGGGAAATGAACCTAGAATCATTCCCCAACGTTTGCTAAACTTTTCCCTCCTAGTAAACGATCACGTAGGCAGCTTCAGCCAGTCTTTGCTGCTTCAGTCTTGAGTCTGGCCAACACAGTCTGGGTTTATGTCACTTTTGAGAGGACACTGATTAAATTCAGAGAGGAAAAAGAAAAAGAGATTTTTTTAAAAGGGAGAAAAGAAAAGTTTATATCCAGTGTACTGGACACTCATTAGGACGATGATTATAATTTTATTTACTTTTCTACCTAGCAGATAGAAGGCATTCGACAATACATATGTTTGCTAAATAAATACACAAGGATACAAATTCACGAATGCAAACTTCACTATGTACACTATAGATAATGCTGGAGTACTTTCGACCTCCCTCTTCAAAGCTGGTTCATTTCAAACACTTAAATTGTTATTACAACTTCCATTTCAATTAAGTGAGGAATGATTTTGTCTATTTTGACAGATGAGGAAACAGATTCACAGGGCAGGCAGCAAACTGCCCAAAAAGGAAATACTGATTTCAAAAAGAAATCACCATTTTTTAAAAATCACCATTTTTTAAAAAAAGGGAGACTGTCCAAAGTAAAATTGATAAAGTTAATGCAAGAAGAGGCGGTCTTGATTTGTGTGCAAAAAGGAAAGAGATTTCCATCCTTGGAAAGAGAGTCAATATCTACCCTTTCGCACAACAAAGGATAAAACCTGGTATTGAAACATTAAGTTAATCTCCCAAGTGCTTTGTTCTGAATCACCAAAGACTCTGAAATACGGGAAGACTCTGGATGTCTGGAATCTCATATCAAAGCCCTAATAATTAGCTGTTTTACACTTTTTTTTGAGAACACAACCCTGGAACCACAGGGAGGGATTAGGCAAATGTTAATTAGCAGGGCTTAATTTCCAAACCAAAGCTCAAACCAGGCCTATTCAACATTCAGATGAAATCTGGGGGGAAAAAGTCAGGAACACTTCAGGATGTTTTGAAATATATGGATATTAAGTCCTTTGTTGGTAAAATAAAATTAAATTAAATTAAATTAAAATAATTCTACTTAAATTCTTTTTTCACCACATTTAGGTATCACAGAAAGTCTGAATTGGAGATTAAACCTATTCTCTCACTTTGAAGGTTTACAGAGCCTCAGTTATTAAATTAACTTGAATAGGTGATCCCAAGAGCCTGGGTGCAGTTCAGTAGACAGAGACATAAAAGGAGGATGACAATTTACATTTCCCTTGAACTCACAACAATCTTGCATTTGTTAGCACTGGCTGGTATCATTAGTCCCATTTTTAGAGGCGGAAACTGAGGCTCTAAGTGAAATTAGAGGCTAGTCTCTAAACCTACTAGTTGACGACTCCTGCCTCTCTGCTTCCATGACTGTGGACCTTTGCCTGTTGGCAGCTCAGGTTAGAGGTCAGCAGTATGGGGTTACAACGTCTGCGGTGCTTTAAAATACTTTAGTATGATCGCGTGATAGGATGGATGAGCCAGGTCGCTTAACTGTTACTCCAGCGGTGGTCACTTCACAGTTTGTCAAGAGTACACTATCCGTGAGCTGTCAGCTTAATGCTGTTTCAGAAGTGACGCCCTCCAGCGAGGCCCCAGCCATTCTCGACCAATAGCTCCCACTTCTGCTAATTTGCATACTGGGTGTCAAAAAGGGGATGCTATTAGCGAAACTAGTATCCTCTTAAATAGCATAAATGTTAGAAAATGGGCTCTCACTGGTGAAATGAGAGGCATTCAAGACATAAAGATGACTAGAAGGGTTTAGGGACCCTTCCCATCCTTGCGTGAACAGGTATAAGAATTCACTGAGGCCTATATTTTGAACTCTTTGGGAAGGGCACCACGGGGCCAAAGGGGAGGGGCTCCAAAGGCCCTAAGAAGCTTGCCTTAAGGTGGGGGTAAAAAGCAGGTACAGAATCCACAGACCCTCCTGGACTCTCCGCTATTATCATTTAGTACCTACCCTGGCCATAACTTTGCCCCAGTCTATAGGACAAATTCTGACCTTCACTTCTGAAAGGGATTCAGGGAGCCTTAGTCTAAAGTTTGGGATTCGAGCATCTTCTCTATTCCTGCTTATTTAGTCCTGACCTTGGGCTGTCGAGATTTGATAACTGGGCTTCTGCCTTCTTCCCTGGGGCTTGGTAACTTGGTTGCCTGGAGGAGTCTCCTCCACCGTCATACCAAACCCAGGGTTCGGGTCCTGCTCTTGAAGCACAGCCCGGGGGGTGCGGTCCCGCTGGGATAGTACAATCTCCATCAGTTTGCCCAAGACAGTTCCAATTTATGTCTATTGACTCAGTATAATCATTAATAGCATTTCTTTTTGCTTTTAAAAGTGTCTTAGTTTGCATAAGAAATCATCTGGTCACTGCCTATGAGAGAAGATAACCTCTCCCTCAGCAGTACATCCCCAGCACTTAGCAAAGGGCTTGGCAGGGAGATGGGGTTCAATATGTGTTTGCTGAATGAATGAGCAAATGACAGAGTATGTTACAATGTGTCACCTGGGACCAGTCTTCCTGATATTACTGCTGCTGATCTGATTTGCAAACACCACTTGACTTTCAAATACATTCTTACATTTGCTGCAGCCTTTTAAATTAGGCAATAGGTTGAATACATTAAATATGATTAAGTCCGTAATTCAAGATAATAAAAGATTCCAAAACAAAACTTCATTTGCAATCTTTGGAAGAGCCTAGGGAAACAACACATTAGTTTAAAAACTTGTAAGTAAAGAAAAAGAATTAAGCATGGATCCTGCCTCTCTTATAGGATTGGCTGTATCTCACCTTAAGCCATCAGTTGCTAAGGGGAAGTTTGCCTTTGTAAAAGTAGACCAGCTTAGGTGAAGACTGCATGATATATTTCGAATAGCAACATTTTGCAAACCCTAAAGAAATAATGAGTTTAGAGCCGTGGTTCTCAACTGAAGAAATTCTGCTGGTTAGGGGACATTTGGCAATGTCTGGAGACAATTTTGGTTGTCACAGCTGGGGAAGGGGTGCTCCTAGCATCTACTGAGTAGAGGCAAGGATGCTGCTAAACATCTAATTGCGTAAGACTGTCCCTCACAATAAAGAATTATCTGGCTCAGAATGTCAACCATGCTGAGGATGAGAAACCTTGATCTAGGCAATGATCATTGATGGTTACAAATACCACAAAAATGAAGTCAAGCAGACAGCATGTGCCTGCTGATGGAAGTACACAGTACCTCTAGGACGTAGTCAACCCTGAGTCTGATCGAAGGTCTAGTTCAGTGGCTCTCAAACTCTACAGGGCATTCAAACCACCAGGTGGCCCCGATAAAGCACAGATTGCTGGGACCCTCAACCAAAGTTTCGGATTTGATAGGTCTGGGTGGGGTCCAAAAATCTTGTATTTACAGCAAGTTCCCAGTGTTGACGTTGCCAGCTCAGGACCTCAAATAGGTGAGTATATTAGTTTCATTTCCACAAAGATAGCCGCTGCAGCACTGCCCACAAATGCGTAGGGCCCCAAGTTGAAGGACAGACCAAGGAGACTGCAAGGCCAGGTGCGTTCCGTCACGCTCTCCCCGCCTGCAGGGTTCCTGACCACGGCCCCACCAGCTGTGAGCCTCTTCCCAACAGTGAGGCCGCACAGGCTCCCCTCATTTATCAGGTTTCCAAGTGAAAGAAGTAAAATTTGTAGAAAATGCTCATTTCATGTACGCTGATTAGCATAAAATTGCTCCTTTGTCTCAGCTGCAAGGGAGGACAATGGTGCTGAGAGTCCTGGCTGGGTAGATTGTCCCTCTCCCTTCCTGTACCCTGAGCTCAGCAAGCCATACCACACAAAGACCCCAGGGACCCAGCATCAGCCAAACTTCCAACTGGAAATGCTAAGGGGGGCCCTCTGGCCCAAACTCCTTCATCTTTGGGTGAAAGCATAAAATTGGACCTGGAGACTTGGATTGGACTGAAAATATTGCTCCCCAAAGTGTGGTTTCTGCGTTCCTTCAGGAGTAGATTAAAAAATCATAGCCTTCACTCATTTATTCTTTGGCTATTTATGCAGTGGCTGTTGTGCCCCAGCCCAGATCCCTGGCATCTGAGAAAGATGAGAAACAGGAAACTGAGTCATTGCTTTTTCAAGAAGAATCTGGAAAAATTTGCAAGCCCTATGATGCTAAGATCGAAGTGCATGTATTTGATTCTAAAAACGCACAATGTTCTACATTTTAATCTCTCTCAAATGGGGATAAGTACTATAATTAATAGCACCCTAAAGTTACAAGTGGCAGGAATTTTCTTTCTTGGTGGCACATAAAATAATGATGTCTCTAATAATGTAGGGTGTCTTAGATTGGATAAAAATTTTACATTGAAAGTCAGTGACAGAATGTTTGAAATTGATAAACCACCAAAAAAGCCTTGTATTGACAAGCTCTGGGCGCTTAAAGAAATTTTTCTCCCCATCCCAACCTTCCAAAGGAATATTTCCCAGGAGGCAGAATTGTGTCTTATCAATTTTAATACAAGATTGTGTATTTAAAATTCCCTAGGTGTTCCTGGTTTCTAACAAAATGGCCTAGAAACAGAATCAATCTTAGGCAGACAGACTTGGCTCTAAATTCCATTTTTGGTACCTATTATACCCCTTTCCTTTTTTTTTTTTTTTTGCAGCTTCACTTAACCTGATCTGTAAAAGGTAGATGACATTTCCTTCCTAGGGTTGTTGGGGATTAAATGAGATAAAGCATACCATGTAGGACATGCTCAATAAATGTTACTTCCCTCTTTATACAGAATTATTTGTCATACTGGACATACAGGTCCAAAAAAAATCTCATTCAATCTGCAAAACATGCCCATGAGGTCCGAGGAACTGGTAACTTGAACAAGGTCACACCGCTGGTGAAAGAGACAGAGCTGGGCTTGCTGAACAATCTTGTGCCTTATTTTCTATACAACAGCCAATTCCATCAAAATCTTCATCACAGGCCACAAGCCCTACACTCTGGTTCCTGAAGAACCACGACCCATTCAAAAAACGAAGCTCAGAATAAACAAATCCAGAGAATGGCACTAAAATGGCTAGGCTGTTTATAAGACATTGATTGAGTCTAGCGAACATCTGTGTGAGTTATTGTGTCAAAAACGCAGGGGTCATAATTAGCTCTGATATGATCCAATGCCTGTGACCCTCTCCCCCTGACATCCTCTGGGGGCCACCAGTCCTGTCCCGACACAGCTGCTCTGCTACCCCAGTTTGCAGCTATATTGACACAGCCATTTTCATGGTAGGCCTGTTGTAAATTTGTTGTTACATGGTGCGTCTGCCCCAAATTGCACGGTGTACGTAAATTTTTGTGTGTGTGGCGGGGCTGGCACGGGGGTTGGGGGGGTACCGGGGCTGAATAGAGCGTGTGATGGGGCAACCCGCGGGAGACCTAACCCTGATAAATTGTTTACTTGTTAGTGATGGGGCTCAAGAGTGGGCCGGGGGCTGCAGGCTCAGCGGGACGGACGTAGAAGGTGGACCCACGCCAATTACCAGCCATTGTGGTGTCCCATCCCATGATTGACACCAATGTCTCCCCTCTCACCATGGGTCCTTTTACTCTCCCAGACCCAACACAAGCCCCACTGTGCTAATACCATGGTGTCTCCAATTTCCTCTGTGGCCAGCAAAAATTAACCTAGGCCTCCGGCCTGGAGAAGACCCAAGGCCTTTATTTTATTATGCATTTTCCCCCAGTTTTTCAAGGATGAGCTAAAAAATAGAGGTTGCTAAGGCCAGTTGGGCAACAAAGGAAGCAAAGGGACAAACATTATCTTTGGATGACTGACTTCAAAGTTAATGATCTTCCCCGCTGAATTGTGCCCTCCACTCCTCAATGAGGTCTTTGCCATCAGATAAAGAAGCGCCTCTTTAATCCACTAACACTCCTTTGTCCCTTTGTGGCGAAATGATCATTTCATCAGTTTCAGAGACTCTCTGCCCGTAGAGTTTTTTTAGCCTGAATGATTCAGAGGAGGAGAGACAGAGAAGGGTATTTCTCTACTTCATTTTCCCTCAAGTGACGGCTGAATAGCTATGCAAAAAAATTAAGGCATAATGACCCTGCAACAGTGACAAAACCTAATTAGTCACGGAGGCCACTGGGTAATGAGCCGCAAAACCCGCTCTTGAGTGTGTAATAACTGTATTTTTCTCCATTTCTTCCCCTTTAGTCACAGCCTTGTGTGGCATTTTTAACAAACTAAAATGGCACCAGATGCAACAGGGTTCAGACATTTTAACTTGAATTAAGAAACCATATGTTCCGATAAGTCATGGTCTCTTCTTTCCCACAGACCGGGTCCTCCATCTGTGGGGCGGCACTCTGGTGGTGAGGCGACGATGATGGCCACTGGCACGATCACCCCACGAAGATGACAAGGTGTTGGGGTTGGGAGCTGGGCCGCCAGAGCCCTCCCGCCACAGAGCTTGCAGTTCCTGCCTGGGGCCTGGACATCCCAGATGTGGGGCCCAGATACGCGCCCTAAGCACGGTGAGGGTGAGGGGCTGACGCAGAGCGAGCCGGGGAGGGGACAGAGCTGGAAAGGACTCCGTGTCCACATAATAGTGTGGGATGCTGAGAACTGCCTTTAACCATTTATGACGAGGTTATCCACTCTCAAGAGGTTTAAGGCACACAGTAGCCAGGTCTGAGGCCCCCCAAAACCTTGGGGTGTAGGACTGTTACCTCCATCTCTCTGAGATGAAGCAAGCAAGGATCGGAGGTTAGGGAACACAGGACTCAGGCCGGAAGCCGCATCTGCGATCATCACCCAGTGTGCTTCCTATGTTTGCTGTCATGATTATTACTGTTAATAATAATTTCCTCTTAAAATTAGAAAAAATTTAAAGGGTGGGAAGTTTACATATCCTAGTTTGGCACGGTATCTCTCTTCAACCCTGAGATCCAAAGTCAGTGAGGTAAAATGTCATTAATGCATCATTTTTATTTTGAGCAGGGCATTGTCCAAAAGTGTTAACTTTTACTTTTCTTCTACTTCCATGAATGTCATTTTACTTTGGGCCATCACCTACTTTGGGGCTGTGATTGGGCTTATGAAACAAGAGGCATTACGTACGGTCTTTGTTCTCTGAGAGACAAGAAGGTGTACCCAGCAGACCAAGAAGAAGTCTCCCCAAGATGAATCCAAGTCCCCCTAGACATCCATGAGGCACTCAATTCCTCCCAAGCCTCTGGCCGTGGAATCCCATAAGGGAATCTTGAGTGAG